CCAGGAGTTGGAGGTTGCTGTGAGCTGTAATGCCATGGCACACTACCCAGGGGGACAGCTTGAGGCTCTGTCTCAAAAAAAAAAAAAAAAAAAAAAGAAAAACAATTCCTTGGGCAATGGTTTCTACAGAACTTTCAAACACCAGTCTAGGAAATCTGAAGGCAGAGTGAGAGCATCAGAGGCAGCTCATCAATATGGGATGAAGAACTATGACCACAGGAAAAAAAAAGTATTTAAACTGAATACTGTAACAAGGAGGACTGAAGAATCTTCTTTCTTATCTGGTTAATATCCATCAAACCTTTTTAATCACTTGTTTCTAGAATTCTTTGTGTGTGTGTGTGTGTTTCTAGAATTCTCTGGTCCTCATTAGACTATAGGCTATGTTCTCAAAATATGGGCTCATTACCCTCTCTGCCCTGTCGTATTTATTGCCAAAGTTTATTTAATTTGTTGGTGAGGGCAAGGGTTTTATATCACAACTATTATCCCTAGGGCGACAGACAAACAGGCATACTTAAACCTATGTTCTGAATGAATGGAAGTGGCAGGGACAAGATGCAAAATCACCAGTTCACTGACTCTAAATATAAAATCACTGCCCCAAGTACTCCTCCCATGTTAAGTGGAAGACAATAAAGTCATAAAAGCCACAGAAAAATAAAATTTCCTTAGAAAGGAGGGTTGGTTAACAGCAACAGTAGTACTACTTTTACAGCACAAGGGGGCGCCTGCTGCCTACTCCATCTCCAGGAGCCCTGGAGGAAGGGAGGGGCCGCCAACTTCACACAGGTTTGCTCACGAAAATTAAGTTCAAAGGCAAGCTTCTGAAAACCCCAGAAAGCAGCGGTAGTTTGTGAATCAATCCAGTATTTCCAAAGCATGAGCCGCCGAATCGAGAGAAATCATAGAAACAGGCACACCCACCTTCACACGGCTATCCTTCCCTATCCTAGCGTGAATTCACTTTTGCCCTTCATTGGCTTTCCACCCACATACAGAAGAAACGCTAGGAACAGAAAAGCACTTAACCCATCTCTGCCTCTTAACCAGGGTTGCATTCTTCCAGAGTTAAGATCCAGCATTAGCGACCCCTACCATTTGTCGCCCACTCTTAGCTTACAGGTAAACCAAGTAAAAACAAAGTCAATTCTCCCTCTCAGCTAATTGCTGGCTTCACTTCTCAACAACCCTTTTGCCAAATCACAGACTCTTAACTGGCAAGACACTTTCGGATCAGCTAGTTTCACTCTTATTTTCCCATGAGATAAATAGGCCCCGGAGACCTCATTAGACGATGTAAGACCAGTATAATTACCATCGCCATTTTATGGATGTGGAAACTGAGGCTCACAGGAGTCAAGTGACACACCCAAGGCTACTTAAAGGTGTCCTAATTCTTGCTTCTGAAGCCTCTTGGTACCAGTCTGTAACCCGGCCAAAGGGTACTGCACCCTTTCTTCCCTGGCCAGGATTATGACCCAGGTCTCCCAAACGCCTAGCGCAGCACTTCCTCCAATGACAGAGCATGCTTAGGGTAGGTGGGCCCCATCTGAGAATTTGGGAAAACCTGAATTGGAGCTTTGAAGCCTCTCAGTAAGAGTTACATCCTCCACGCTTTGGATAAGTTGCTCTGACCCGTGGTTCTCAGGGCAAAAGGCCTAGCGGGTCGCCCCGAACCAGAGGCCGACCAGAGCAGCCGCGTCTGAAGCCCGTTCTGGCCGGCTCCTCCCGGACACAGTCCCTACAGGGCACCAGGTATCTACCCACACCCTAGGAGGGGGCCACAGCCCCGAGGCAACTCCCTAGGGAGCCTACGCATCCCAGCCCGGCCACAGCGCCGGAAGCTGGTGAGGGTAGGAGGCTGAAAAGGAAGAGGCGGCGCCCGAAGCCGCGATGACGGAGGGGCGGGGCTCCCTGCTTCCCCCCCTGCCTTCGCCTCGCCGTTTGACAGCTTCCCTCCCCCCACCCAGAACGCCAGGGGTCCTAAGCTGCCGCCAGAGCTCGGCGCCAGTCCGTCCCGAACACCCCAGCTGGGCCCGAACCTCGGCTCCTGCATCCGGGGCCCGCGCGGCCCGCGCCTGCGTACTTGCTCCGCCGACGGTGGCCCCGCCCCGCCCCTACCGGACTCAGAGCCGCCCCGCCTCCTTCGGCCGCGGCCATGTTGGCCCCGGGCGTGCCGGGGGAGGGGACCGTGGTTCCGCGCCTCGCGGCGTAGCGCCTTCCCACCTTGCTGACACCTGAAGAGTTCTCTTTCGCCCTTCACCCTCCTCCAACCCTCGCCCCCTTGCCCCTGGCCTTCTGTTAGCGCGCCAGGCCAGCTGTCTCAAGAGTTGCAGCTCTTGCCTTGGTTCCATCCCTCCGACGTTCACTGAGTTCCGATGTGGGCCGAGGCTCTTGGTTGGGAGCTGACCGCGCGCGGCTTCTTCGCCGAAGCCAGAGCTGCGCTTTCCCTGCTGTCAGGCAGCAGCTTAGCACTGGGCCTGGCATACAATAGATGTTCTTTGAGTAGTCAAAGGAAAGCCGCCTTGGGGTTTCTGTGGCCAGCAGTGGCACCTCGTGTCCTGGGTGTGAAGAAAGTAGGGGATCCCCCTGATTTTCCCCTCCCCTGGCGAAGAGGGACCTTCTGTCCTCCTTCAGTCCTCAGCCCCACCTCAGTGGCTAATGAGGGTGAGGAAAACCTCAGAACATCCCCCAGGACTCCTTTCACCTCCCTCAAGCAGTTTCTCTTACAGGAAATGGGGCCAAAAAAGAAGAAGAAAAAAGAAGCTAACTCAACAAAACCGTCTATTAGGGGGAGCGACCAGTTGGTACCCCTGTAACGGAAACTGTTAGAACAACTTTGCACCTTCCTTAAAGGAAACAGATAATAAATCCTTCTCCGTTGGCGGATTTCTCGTTTCTCAGGATTCCGAAGCCTTCTGTGGTTTCAGTTATCTGCCCTGCAAACGAAGCTGGGGTCTGGGCTGGCCGCAGCCCTGGCTGAGGAAGGGGTTTATCTTCTGCAACAGCTACTAATGTGGGTGGGAACAAAGAGATGGTTGCTACCTCTCCAGGCAAAGTAGACAAGCCTGCATCAGTTCTGTGGGACTGTATTGTTTTTTTCATTCTTTATAACACATTTCACACCCTGAGACCTAAAGTGTCTTCAGATATTTGATACTTGTTATGTATGAAGTAGAGAATGTACAAATCGCATTTGGTCTTTGTGTGTTGGAGAAGGGGGAAAAAAAGGGAGTTTAGAATTCCCCCAGGATTTTCAGTGACTCCCACTTGTTCTCAGGCCAGAGGCCTGTGAGTGAAAAAAGCCTCAGGGCACACTTGTGACTGGGGCCTGACATTGTGACTTGAATCTGAAAGTCCACAGTTCCAAGCAGCACTCTGCAATAGCAGAGAGATGAATTGCCATTGCCCTGTAAATTCACAGGGCAAAAAGGCATTCTAGGGTTCTCTCTGTCCGTGCTGGATTCCCTCAAAAATCTATTTGTAAAAGGCCAGGGATCTCTTGTGACAAGTTGGAATGTTTCCTAAAAGCCTAGACTCTCACATTGTGGAGGTAGAACTTTGGTCCAGATCTTAAGCTCTACTTTCCTGCAATTTCTCTTTCCTTTCTTTCTCTGCTACCCAACCCCCTCCTCTTCCGTTCTGTTTCGTTTCATTTTCTGCCTCCCGAGCTGACAGGAAAACAAGGAAGCTGAATGTTGTACTCTCAAAGCCCTGGTTCTCTGGCTCTTGAAGTGGGAAGAAGGCTAGGTGGCCTGGAAGGGGGCTCTGTGGCTCTAAGGCTAAGAGGAGTGCAGGAGGCAGCCCTCTCCAGTCTGCCTGTAGAGTCTGCAGCTAAAATGGAGCCTGCATCTACACAGGGAGCCAGCTGAGCTACCAGAGCTGTGGAAAGCAAGTGAGACACAGCCACATCTCAGGGCTCTACTTCCCAGCCACTTCTATTAAGAAGCAAATATCGTATACTGCCAAGAAACAATTTCACATACAAATCTTAACCTAAACAATGCAAGCAATGCATCACCATTTCTAGAGTCTTAGACTTTAAGAGATTACATCACTTCTATTCCTTAAACTTGCTGTGTCTGTTCTTGCTATGTATTTTTTTCTTTGTAGTTTTTGGCCGGGGTTGGGTTTGAACCCACCACCTCTGGCATATAGAGCTGGACCCCTACTCCTTTGACTCACCGGCGCTGCCCTGTTCTGCTATTTTTCATTTACCCTGCTTGAACCATTCTTCCACCAGACACCACCCTCTGGGCAGCCAACTGTATTTGGGTCTCAACAGAGATGTCATACTCTGGCTCGGCACCTATAGCTCAACCGGCTAAGGTGCCAGCCACGTACGCCTAAGGTGGCGGGTTCGAATCCCCAGCCCGGACCCGCCAAACAACAATGACGGCTGCAACCAAAAAATAGCCAGGCGTTGTGGCGGGCGCCTGTG